ATTTTAGTCTTTTCAATGTTTTCATGCTTTTATCTTGTATTGTTTTTGTATTATTGTCTCTTGGGTATTGGGTAGTACTTGTTAAAGCACTTTGTAACTTGTTTTTGAAAAGTGCTCTACAAATTAAGATAAAATAAAGATTATTATAAAATATAATAAAAGTTACGGTGTTACAATCAGGGTTAAAAGAGTTAAATGGAAAATAAAAACAGGCTGAGGGGTGGAGCAAATAATTAGTTAGAGTTAGAGTTACAATTATTCTGAAAAAAGAATAAACAGAAGTACACTTAATCCACTCTCTCTAGCTAGTCTGTACTTGGGTCCACAGCAATCTTTGGGTCCACAGAAACTCCAAAAACCCTCTGACACTATGAGAAACCAGGACATGTCTGTCAGCAGGCCACTTTGGCACAGACCGGCCTGGACGGTCACTGTAAATTTATTGCACTGGGAAAACTATTTCATACAGTAGGTGGCGGTAATGCAACAATTTGAGTGCCAACTGCCTCAAAGAAGAAGAAGAAGAAGAGACCGGTCACACAAACAAAAACACAGACAGAACCAAAACACAAAAGGCACACTCCACCCACACTAAAGGTCAAAGAAAATGCACGACACACTCATACTCAAACCAGTGGTCACGGTCGGGGAGTCGTGACACCATGTCAAGTCAGAGAATATACTCTGCACCAGTTCCAAAAATTTACCATGTGAATTAGTAGTTAAATAATGTCTACTTCCAGGAAGTCTGGTTGATTTACACAATGTGTGACTTTAATGTAAAACACCAGATGTCAGCAGAGTGACTCTGCAGCCAACAGGAAGACAGAGTGAATGTCCCTTTAAATCCAATAATGTATTACATCCAGCATGCTCATGTTTAGGGCCTTTAGACTTATTCAAGCATTTAATAAAAAAAAAAAAACAGTTTTACTGTTCTGGATCTTTATCAGATCAATTCAATTTCAGTTCAGTTTTGTTCATATAGCCCCAGTTCACAACAACAGTTATCTCATAGAGCAGGTCTAAGGCTCTAGAGTATCCTGTAATTATATCAGTACAAATGACAGAATATTTACATTGGTTTGGCTGGATTATTTAAAATGCTAAGAGAAGTCAACAGAGCCTTATTCTAATGTTGCAAAATGTGTGTGGTACGTCTGGCAGTGCAGGGAGCCTTTCTCTGATTCATAGGTTTGTCTTTTAGATATTTCTGTATTTTCTCTGAATTACTTTATACCAAGAAATTCTTCTTGTCAGAACACTAAGTTAGAGCAGAGGTTTTTCAAGCTGGGAGGTTTACCAACTCAGGTGGGCACAGAGGTGAAGGTGGGGGCGAGGAGGGAGAAAGATGAGATGCGTTCAAGGTCTTGTTCACGAGTGAGGGTAAAACGGTGTCAGCAGTATTGTTGTAGTGAATGGGCAGCTAAGCTGGAAAGTAAAGCTATCAAAAGTCAATCATTTCCTTTGGCCAGGAGCTGAAAGAGGACACCTGCATCATTTTGCAGCAGAAGTCCAGATGGTAAATCTGTATAATAATATAATAAAATAAAATTTAAAAACTCTCTTAGTGATCTCAGATACCTCTTAAATCAACCACACTTCATGTTAATTCTGCAGCACTTGTCACTTCCTGCATGTGATTAAACACTTTGTGTAGGGCCCTGTGTCTCCTGATGATCTCTTGAGCGAAGAACCAAAACCAGATGACCTATTTCTTAAATGAAGAAGAGAAAACACCACACAGTCACTTGCGCCCCCCGCCCTCTACAAAGAGGAAGGAAGACTGTACTGGACTGACTGAAGTGTTAGTTTCATATTACCAAATGGTGCAATGAGACGGACCTCTTTTCTGCTCTGTAAGTACAATCAGATAAAACTGAAATAACTATAAATTTTTATTGTTCATTCATGAGACTTTATTGATCACCACAGGTAAAGGTAGCAATAAACTAGATAGACTAAGATGCAGCAAACTGAGTAATGTGGTGATCAAACAGTTAATCATTGTTCAACAGGTTAAATAGCTTTTGCAATATTTTAGAAAAAACTCAAGAATTAAACAAAATGACAATAAATAAAAAGTCTATGGACACTGCAGCGGGTGCTACAACCATTATGAGGTTACAGAAATGAAATAACTGTCACTCCTGACAGTGAGGAGCGCAGTAAAACATCACTGTTCAATGTTCAGTGTAGTCCTGTTTCCTGGTTGGTCCTGTCTCTGTTCCCTGACCTGGTTTTGTTCTGTTAAGCAGTCGGTCCATGTTTTCTGTTTTGGGGTTTTGTTCTTTGTCTTGTGTTTACCCTGTTTTGCCTCGTTTATTCTTTTGTTCATTTGCATGTTCAGTTTAGCTCACCTAGTACCTGTTCTGTTGTCTATCTTAGTTTCAGTTTTTTACTTCTGTGTCTTCATGTCTGTGTATTTACTCCTGGTTCTGTGTTTGTATTATTTTGGTTTTGTCTGCTTTGTGTTCTGTTTAATCCTAGTTTCAGTATGGTTTCCTTTTTGGTTGTAGTTTATTTGATATGGTCTGTGTTTAGTTTTTGGTAACCTGTGTTCTGTCTTTTCCACCTATGATCACTGCTTGTCTGTGTCCAGTCATTGTCGTGTGTAGCTTGTCATGGTCATCCAGTAAGTGTGCTCGCCTTTTGTTTGTTTAAAGAGACCCTTCCACTATACCTGCTCTGCTCGGTTTCCTGCATTTGGGTCCTCCACTTCACAACCGCACAACAACTCATGACAAACCCATGCAAACATGGGGAGAACATGCAAACTCCACACAGAAAGGCATGTGCTGACTGAGGTCTGGACCCAGGACCTTCTTGCTGTGAGGCCACAGTGCTCTCCACCGGGCCACCATGCTGCCAATTGAAAGAGTAGAAAAAGAGGGTTTGGGGGGAGGGATGTGAGAACCAAGAAACGACAGATGAAGGGGTTAGACAGGCCAGCCCGTTCTCATCTCAGGGCGTCATATAGTGATGATTTGAGAAAGAGTGAAAAAGCGTAGGTATTTGACTACTATTTGGTATTTGTATTAGGTGTGAGACGCTCCATGAGACGTTTCCGGAAGCGTCTCTATGAGACGCTCTGGGGTGTCCCATACAGCCCGGAAGTGCTAGCTAACTAGCTACGTTCGTGATAAAGGTGTTGACAGCCCCCGAAGCCCCTACCCTTACCACAACCATCAGAAATGTTAGTACCTAAACCTAAGTCACTGAATGTATGCATGTCGACCGGCCAACCCTACACCTGCTAACAGGTAGGGTTAGCCTCCCTTGTGTTGCTCCAAAGTAGGAAATAGCTTAGCTTAAAATCCTTACACTTTGTCACACTATCTCAATGCGTCAGTTATGACGCATTGAGATGAGAACGCGTCAGACAGGCTTTTATACATACAGTATGTGATGGTGATTGGATTGGAGAGGCACAGGTGGATGAAATGAGTAAAGCATGATCGTGGAGGGACTGAACTGCGGCGGATAGGGACGATAAGTCGGAAGAATGGATCGGTCTTGTGGGATGATGCGGATGGCAAAATACCTGAGTAAGGCGGGAAGTTGGACCGTGGAAAGCAGTAAGTTCTGAGTAAAGGTCAAGGTCAACCGTCAAGTCAGAAGTCTTCTCCATGATTGTGGTTGTGTGTACTGAACCACACAGAGACTAAGGGCTCTTCTTGGGTCAACATTTTTGTATTATACATTATTTACTCTATTATTCTAATATTTTGAGATATGGATTTTTGATTTCCATGAGCCTTTAATTATCAAGATTTAAAACAAAAAGGGCCTGAAATATTTACACTTAAATGTAATGAATCTAGAATATATGACAGTTTCACATTTTGAATACAAATTTTCTGAGAAGCACCTGTATGTTAAATCTCAAACCAACCTGAGTCTCGTTTTTCTTCAGTGCTGATCTCACTGCTGTGCTGTAGGACCAGTAGAGGTAAGTGTATGTCTCCTCCGACAGTCAAAGCTGTTAGCATAATGCTGTCTGGTAAAAAGTAATACAAAATGTGCATTCTGTAAATACTTATAAATACATATTTATAATATCTATAAACAAAAAGACCACTAACACATACAGAGAATGCTTTAACATACAGTAAATTAACTTAAACAACCACCATACAAAAACAAACAAGGTCTCTATAGAAACAGGTTGACCAGGATGCAAGCTCAAACAGATTTGAAATTTGAGCCTTCAGTTATGAAATAAATCAGATGCACAAAACATATGTGAGTTAAAGATAGGAACCAAGAATGAATTTTCATTTTCAAACAATATTGCAAAAATAAAAATTAAACAAACTAATAAATATAATATAATAATATTGGTTGCGTACCTGTTCCACCTTTACAATGTAACTCTTTATGAAAGTATTTATGACACTTTGAATTAAAATGTGCAGGAACTTCTGGTTTGCCTTATCATTTAAACAATGGTCAGCAGGTTTATTATCTTTGGACCTGTAAGACTCCACGGTCAAGTTAGAGCTTACAATAAAACTAGTGGTTGACATTGTGAAACATTGTGATTTGGTTAGGTTTAGGCACCAAAACTAATTATGTTTAGGAAAAGGTAATTGTTTGGTTACTCAGTTACCCTTACCTAAGTTAAGTAAGGTTACTTGTGTAATTTACACAACTTATGTAACATCCATACATCGTCAACCACTTATCCTGTGTACAGTTTCGCAGGATAAGTGGCTGATGTCAGCCAATCCCAGCTGACATCGGGCGAAAGGTGGGGCACACCCTGGACAGTTCGCAAATCCCTCGCACGGCCACACATAGACAAACAACCAGTCACACTCACACCTAAGGACAATTTAGGGTCACTAATCAACTTATTACGCGTGACTTTGGATGATGGGAAGAATCCGGACATGCAAACTCCACACAGAAAGGCCAATGGGTCTTGAACGTGCATCCATATGTGATGTCATGGAGTAAAATACTCATAATGCAGCAGGTGCAGCATTACATTACATTACATTTACTCATTTGGCAGAAGCTTTTGTCCAAAGTGACTTTCATTTGAGGAACAACATACAAGCATCAATACAGCACAACTGACAATACATACTAGTAAGGGCAGCAATAAATAGTAGTAAGAGCTCACAGTACATATCACATGAATGGGGTAAATACCTAGGGAAAGAAGAGTTAACAAAATAGTATAATCAATACATATAAGATAATTGTAAGGGATCAAAGAAGAAGAAGAAGAGCACAGGAAGTGCATGTTAGAGGTTAGGGGTGAGAAGTGTTATAAGAAAAAGTGTTCTCAGAAGAGATGAGTTTTCAAGAGCTTCTTGAAGTTAGAGAGTGACACCCCTGCTCTGACGTGGTAGCTCGTTCCACCATCATGGAGTCACAGATGAAAACAGACTGAGATTGCTTTGTGTGAAGGCAGAGCCAGGCGGCGTTCGTAGGAGGAGAGTAGTGGCCGAGAACAAACATCAGCTTGTATTGTGGAGTTTAGGTAGATGGGTGCAGACCCTGTAGTCAGTCTGTTTGCAAGCATTAGTGACCATTTGAATGTGGAGGTCCCTGAGTAAAGGAGTGACATGAGTCCTTTTGGACTGATCAAAAACTGGACGCACTGCAGCAGCCTCACACAAACTTTTAAGTAACAAGTAAGCAACATAATTTAAATCGATGATAAATGAACAATATTTCCATTATTTCCCATTTCTGTTTTTAATGATTAATGAATGCTTAATAAACTAACGTGTCTGGCTACTGGGCAGGTTGGAAATTAATAATACACTCATGTGATCATTTAGCTAAAAATCTTCTAATTCGCTGCAGCTCGTCTCACTGTGAGTCCCAGCAGCACTCAGTTCTTCAAATGGAAGTCTGTCTCCCTGAGCTGTGAGGAGGACGACAGCTCTGCTGGATGGACGCTGTGGAGGAACACAAGCAGAAAAAAGAGGGCTCAGTGTGACGCTGACTGGGGAAGATCGGCTGGTTCTAACTGTTCCTTCAGCCACATCGACCCATTGGACAATGGAGTTTACTGGTGTGAGTCCAGAGAGGGAGCAACCAGTAACACCATCAACATCACTGTCACTGGTAAGATCAGACTGCGGAGTTAGTATTGATCAAAATGCAGACCAAATGCAGACCAAAAGGCGAGAGAATGCAGTTCAAATATTTATTGAACCAAAACTTAAACTGACACAGGCTAGCATGGAGCTCAAGGCAAGTGTCCGAACAAAGGTTAATCTAAACGGATCATAATACACAGGGAATACAAGAAGCACTGACAGAGTAATCCAAAATGAGGGGATAAACCAGAAAACCAGGGAAACACAGAATACAGAGTGGAATACTCAACATAGACGACAAGGACGTCTAAACACAACTGAGGCCAATGTATACACACGGAAACGAGCAGGGAGGGAAGCACAGCTGAAACACATCAGATAATCAACAACAGGAACCAAGCCAAGGACACCAGAGAACAGAATACTACAAAATAAAACAGGAAGTACAGCATCTGGAAACACACAGAGACAGAGTTACCAAAGTAAAACAGAAAACGGGAAGGAACCATAGACAGTATATTACTGGACGAAGCCACCCCGCTGATTTGAATGGAGAGGAGAGAAGACAGTTTTGAACCAATAAAATACTACTACAGTGCTTCCTGTTGGCACCAGCGTCTACTGCGCATGGTTGAGAAAAAGTATAAAATTAGGTTTTTAGCACTGAATTTACATTTATGAATGAGGCATCTTGCCAACAGAATTAATAAATTTATAATGAAGTACAACTTTTCTTTACTTTGACTTCTATAAAAGCAAAATACAACATTCTCCCACAATAAGGCAAAGTCTTTATAGATATGGTCAATGATAAATCTGCTGAGGTTTTGCCAAAATGTTCTGGTGTGATCGTCTCTTTTAAATTAAATCATGTAAAAAAACAAAAGAAAAAAGTTCCATGGCTCAGTGTGTTTGTCTGACTCTGACATCCCTGATTAATCAGCCCAGCTATGAGGCTCACCTGTGAAACACCAAGGGAGCGTCACTGATGGCCGAATATTTTGCTGAGAGTTTATAATCTAAGCAATACGGTTACATCTCTCATGTGCAACGGGTTGTCACAGGGTTTTGACGTCATTTTTGGGTCTACATGGATCCCACCATGCAGGCTTTAGTCGGCTTCACTGTCCGATCTCTGGCTAACCCCCTTGGGAACAACTGCACAACAGAACAAAACCAAGGCAAGGAACAGAGACAGGACCAAACAGAAAACAGGACTACACTAACATGGAGACGTAGTCCTCCACTGGTATTGATGAAGCTGTGTGTAAATGATGAAATGCTGTAGTTTGTCTCTGTGTTGAGGTGGACCAGTGATCCTGCAGAGTCCTGTCCTCCCTGTGATGGAGGGACATGATGTCACTCTGCACTGTAAAACAAAGACCCCTACCTCCAACCTCCCAGCTGGTTTCTATAAAGATGGCTCCCTCATCAGGACTGAGCCTACAGGTCACATGACCATCCACCATGTTAACAAGTCTGATGAAGGCCTCTACAAGTGTAACATCAGAGGTCATGGAGAGTCTCCATCCAGCTGGATCTCTGTCACAGGTGAGGAGCTCAAAGATAATTCTCAAACTGACCTTGTTTTGTTTTCTACATTGAGTTCAACAGGTTTCAGGACAGCAGAGATGATTCATGATGTGACAACATTTCTGAGTTCAACCCACCGTTTGATACTCTGATCTGTTTAACTCAGCAGACAGTGGTTATGAATTTGTCTTTCTGTTAGCATGTTGTTGAATAATTTATAATTTTATTTTATTTTCTGGGCCTTTAATTATAAATTCTTGTTCATTTTAGTGAAACCCACCACTACAATTCCTCCTTCAACCACGTCTCCTCCTGGTTCCTTCTCCTTTCCATCAGCCTCCTCTCCTCATGGTTCCTCCTCTACTCCTCCCTCTGTGTTGTGGTCTGCTGTTCTTTCCTTCTCTGTTCTGGTTGTACTGGTTCTGCTGGTTCTACTAGTGAGACGATGCCTCTACTGGAAACCTAAAGGTTAGACACAGACTCCATGTGCTGCAGTTCACATTTAAAGTCACATTTTACTGTTGACACATTTCTATTAACACTTCTGTACATACAAATAATAACAAGTTACAAACTGTTTTTTAAGTCAGACGTCCATCTGGATTCTCATGAATCACACTGATGTTAATAAAACAATCTCACCACAGGGTCCATTAGGTGAGCTGTGGAGCTTTTGATTGAAATCACATGATTTCATCCTTTGATTTAAATTTCTGCTCCTTTTGGTTCATTCAGCTTTTGAAGAAGAAGTTGGGGATGATGACATCACAGAAGACGTCACATACAGGGATGTCAAAATATCACATCACCTACAGCAGCCAATCAGACGCAGCAAAGGTAACAATGTTTTACCGATTCTCTTTTTCAGGGACAGTTACTGTGCGTTCTTGTTCTTATGTCTTTGCGAGGACCAAGTTGAGTTTTAGACCTTGATAGGACATTTTGGAAAGAGACATGAGGACATGTTTATAAAATGAGGATACATTAAAAAGAATGTTCATCGGAATAATTGAATGTAAAATCAATCACCATAACGTTTCAGACTGTAGTCTGGTCTGTTTTGGTTAATGACAATGTGGGCTTTTTTGCCATGTGGTGAATCTGCTAACAGACGCTAACAGCTCTCTACTCTATGTGTTCATTTGTGCTCACTTCTGCCGGCCGGCTGGCTAACTTCTGGTTCAGTCCTCCACTAACTTGGATAGGGATAAAACTGTACGGCTCTTCTTTACTTTCCAAATGTTATTGAGTGAATGGATCAAATTCTGTTAGAGTCATTTCGAGTGGGTTGTGATGTTTTCCAACATTTTCCAGGCTCATGTAGAACTTTCTTCAAAGCACGTAGCCCTTCCTGGGGGCTTGGAGGAAATGCGATGCTTCAAAGCAAAACCAACCAATTAAGTTTTTTTCCGCTCTACATTGCGGCAAAGTGGAATTTTTGGGGAGATGCACATCAGGACATCATGATATGTACTATCATTTTGAAAGAATGAAAAACTCAGACGCACCCAGAGCTCTGTGGGACTGCTGCTTCATATTTATATAAAAACCTAACATTGCTTGGAGAAAAGAAAGCGAAAAAGTCGGATCTGGTGAGTTTGTAAAATATGTGTCTGTTATTTCCAGCTATCGTTGTACTTTACTGTGAACAGGTTAACATAGCATAGCCGTGATTGATCTGAACTCCATTGAGAAAACAGACATTTTAAAAGTTGTTGTCCTGCTGTCTTGCTGACAGCAGGACAACATATGTTTAACAAATCTGCATCATATTGTAGTTATTTCGGCGTCAGTTTGATCCGTTTATTTCAACTAAATAACAGCAAAATGTTTACTTTGGGTTCATACAGCTGTAGAAATCGCAGGTTGTGTTCATCCTCATTATCGCGTTGTGTGTGAACAGTTGGCAATAGTCCAACAATAAAACCCCTGCGAGGAAAACGACGCCAGGATTGCATTTGCTCTAAATGCACAGTAAGACTGCAGGACCAAAGTTCTCAGGGCAGGATTATCTATGATTGACAAGTCGTTACCACGGCAACCTGTCAATCAGGCTAGATTGACTTGTACCCATGGCACTGTGTAAATTTAACCTGCATCGTTGAAAAAGCTGTTCACTTTCTCTGGTGAGACAATTTACTTTCAAGGTTGTTGTTCGCTAGACAAAGTTAACATCCCTGTTAAAATGACAGTTACGGATGCACCTAGCTAAGCAACCTAGCGAGCTCCGCACACGGCCGTTAGATCCGCTGTCTCATCAAATTCGGGGCACTTCCTGGTTGCAAAAACTCAACATGGCGGCCACCTTTCGACCAAACACGAGGCTTCACAACAGTACAGTTTATAGTTACAACTGACCCATAACTCAACCATCCCCGGTCTCCCCAACCTGAAGTAATGTAATGTTTATCTGTTTTATTTTCCAGAGTGTTATTCAGTTGCAGTCTACTCAGCAGTGAGAGGAACAGGTGACGTCAGTTCTGGACAAATAGCCGACAGACCACACAGGACGAGAGGTACAGCTGCTCTTTATTTATGAACTTTGGACAGAGCTATGCTAGCTGTTTCCCCGTGCTTCCAGTCTTTATGATAAGCTTAGCTAACCACAACCTGACTCCAGATCAATCTTCTCATCTCCCAGAGAGAGAGGGTGTTTCCAAAATGTTGAACTATTCCTTTAAAGAGATGTTGGCTGAGGATCTCTAGCTCAGGAGGGTAACTTACATATCCAGTCCAATCCAACTTTATTTAAAAACAACCAGGTTGACCAAAGTGCTGCACATTGACATGAATCAATAAATAAACAAAGCATTAAAAGCCAAGTAGTAAAATTTTGTTTTAAGTCGTGATTTAAAAACTGGAAGGCTGGGGGCCAGTCTGACATGGAGAGGCAATTCATTCCACAGTTTCAGTCATTGATCTCAGCTCACAGTAAGCTTACGCTGGTAGAATGTGTCCAACTTGACGGCGCCGTTTTTATTCCCCGCCCCTGCAGTCACCTGCAGCTCACGTTAGACTGCGAAGTTGGCGAAAGTCAGTCGCAGGGGATAGACGTGCATTTGTTGAAAAGATCAATATACGTTACTTACTAGTCCAACACCATGACGGCCAGGTCAGCATCAGTCGGGCACCTCTCCTCCTCCTTTAGCTCACGCCAGCGAGCTAAAGCTGGACCAATATTGATCCTCGTCCAGCCTTTTATTTTGTCACTCTCCCTTTTTTGCTTTCTAGTCTCCTCCGACATAACTTTTGCCTTCTTCATTTTATTTGCTGCTTCGGCCATGACAACAACATAGAGACGGGCTCTCGCGTCAGAATTGAAGGAAGTGAGGTATGCCGTAAAGCGAATTTTGTAGTTCTTTTTATGCTCGGGTTACTACCCGAAACCCGAAGTTACGTAGTGCCAGAAAAAGCGATACAGACACCGACAGGCTATGGCAGACGTGTCATTCCACCTACTGTAAGTCAATGTACCATCCGTTTTTTTTATATTGAATTGAAACATAAGGTTCCAAAGTGCCCAGGTCTATTTGAGGGACATCAGAGGTACCACTTGGTCTAGATATCATGACCTTAGTTTTACTCTCATTGAATTTAAAACAATTAAGGCCATCCAGGCTGTAATATCTTTAAAACAGTCAACTGATCTTTTTAAGGAGCCACCACCTTTTATTTTAATGGGGCAGGTAGATTTGCTAAGCATCTGCAAAAAAATGGTCAGAGGACGGAACAAAGCCGCGGTTCACACGCAGTCTGTGTGAGTCTGGGGTGATAGGCTACATGGCAGCCTAAGTCCGCCCCTCAGAATTCCCATGATGCATAGTGGTGAAGGGTGTTTTTGTTAAAATTTGCTAAAAGGTTTTCCATCCTGTTTTAAATATAAATGTTACTTTATGATTAATGTATTTTTAAAACGTGCCTGGTTAGAATATAGTGGGGGATTTTGTAGATAATTGTCATTCTTGTGGTGGTTTACTATTGAAACCAGGAGTGAAGGGACTGTTTCATTTGATAGGAACAGTTGAATACGTATTTCTTAGCCGTTGATAGTGAACTGTATGCAGTGTCCTGCATGGCAAGCATAGACTTTGGGTTCCACACTGAGCTGGGGCACTGGGCCAGTTGTCCTCGAGACCAAGTCCATGCAGTGATTAAAGATATCAGGGTGTGAATCTACTGTGCATGTGTGTAACGTGCTTACCTATCTGACTGCAGAAAGTAGTATAAACAGAAAACAGAAGTAGTTAGTGTCCACCCCCGAGTATATTTGATGCTTAACGGCAAGCCACCGGGAAATATCCCGACTCTCCCAATGGCCAATCCGTCTGGAACCTGCCTTTCCAAGGCGAAGCTTTTAAAAGACGTGGCATTTTCAGTTGGTGACCCATTAACTCTGGTCGTCTCAGTGTCTTCAAAAAGTCGGGTTGTCCAAAACATCTTGTGGAAGCAAGGCTTAGCAACTCTGTGTCTGTGTGTAAATTAACATGAAATGAAAAGCATTTAAAACAAAATCTTAAAGTGAATTATGTTTTATTATACATGCTCAACAGGAAATTGCAACCAAAAGAAAGGACGCAAGAGGATTTAGAAGAGAAGAGGAAACAAAGATGTTGGCGGGAACAGGGATTTATAAAACTGACAAATGTTGCAATTATCGCTTAAAGCATAATTATCACAACATTGTCTACTGTGTGTAATGCAGGGGATTAGTGTTGATGGAAAAAGTTATTTATTTTGCTTATCTGCAAGAGTTGAGGAACAGAGTTAACCAAGTTAGTGTTAACGGGGAAAATACCGGGCTTATTGGGACAGGAACCGCTAGAGGTTTATGCAATCTCTGCTATATTCTCTGATATTCATTTTATGTATCACTCCTGGCATTTGATATTTATTAATAATTCAGTTTACTCCAACATCTATTATCTTTGACAAATTTTTTGTTATATTGTGTTTGTTAAATTGTAATCTTTTGTATCTTGTTGCATTTATTGTAATCTATACTTTTATATATTCACTTTTAATATTCACTTTTCAATAAACATTTGTAAAATTCAATTAACAGGGATCTACACACAAGACTGTCATAATTGCCATACATAGATATGAATCATCTTTGGCACTGTTCCATCAAGCCCTGCAAAATTTGTAGAAAATGTAAAGGTGTTGTCGGTATCAATAAAAACAGAAGCTACAGCTTAAGAAAACCCTTCACACACACACACACACACACATTTGAACAGGGCTGGACTGGTAATTTGGCAGACCGGGCAAATGCAGTTGCTTCAACATCAGCTGCAGTACCAACGGGCAGGCACAGGCACTTGAAGGAGTAAAAGGCCTGTGGTGGCCACTGCCAGGCAGAGGAGGAGGCGTGTGTTAGTGAAACAGAGGGACAAAGGGCCGAGAGAGAGAGAGAGAGAGCAGGAGGAGAGTGTAGACGAAGAGGTAAGCATGGAGTTGCTCAACCTGCCAATAGTATGAAGCTGCAGTACCGGAGGCTGCAGTTTCAGGATCCCGCAATCCTGGGACCGCAGTTCTAGGACCCTAGTTCTTTTTTCGACAGCACCATCTAGTGGAGTGGTGGTGGTAATGCACAGCAACGCGAAGGAGGTTAATCCTGTCTGCTTGCACGTCGGCCGTGACCCGCCACCTGAAATTTTGTGCTTCCCTTTATAAAAATAAAGACATTTCACCCATAAATTGGTGCAGAAAATGTCTCCAGAATGCAGGAAATTAAGTGTTTAATGCTCAAAAATAAGGGAGTACTCAGGATCTCCCTTGATGCATTGTGTTCCAGTGTGGTTATGGAGCAGGCTTTTTAAGCCACCTGTCGCCCAGACCCTGGAGACTGCTTGGCCTGTTATGCTAGAGCTCACTGCAGAGATGACAGTGAGGCTGATACCCTCAGAGGTGGGTGGTTTTGCCTGCCGATCAACTGATGCTATTTGTGCCCTGCTTTTATGTGGATTTTTATTAAACTCTCTTTCAGGTGGATGGGCCCTATAAATGTTTTTTGCCGACTGCTCGTTCTGCTAAGGGTGTTGCAAGTTTCTTTTTTTGGGCTATCTGATTTCCCTCAGCGCTTTGGTCCTTTTTTCCCTCTTTTCTATGACAGAATGGTCGACTGTGAGCCCCTCTTGATGTAACAGGGAACGGCAAGACAAGTAGCTAGCAACTAGCTTAGCGACATCAGTTGACCCTACAAGTGTTCGCTGACCTTCCAGCTCTAGTTCTTTCTCCCACGTAACTGTCCTTGTTAGTGAGACGACCATTAGACTGATAAGGTAGAGACAGTAGCTCAGGAGTCAGGCAAGGATGAGTCTTACAAAAATGTTTACAGAACTTTAGTTTACAGATTAGAGTACAACTCATGGAAAGTAATAGATTACAATATGATGTAGCATTGAAGAATAAACATCAGATAGATTAGTTTTTCTAGGTAGAGGGAAACCTACAGGAACTAGGGGGAAGACAGAAACATTAAAGGGACCAAAAGATGTTCTCCTTCAGATTTAGTGTTGGCATATGACATGTTCACGTGTTGTATGCTGGCACTGTGTCTCCTCGGCCGGGCTTATCAAACCATGCTATGTTAAGTCTTCATCAGTCTCTGAAACTTCTTCACACCTGAACCTGGATCACAATATTTCTTCAACATGAACCCCGCACCACTTTCCTCGTAGATTTACAAGCGGCGTGGTGGTGCAGTGGTTAGCACTGTTGCCTCACAGCAAGAAGGTCCGGAAGTGCCAAAGATGATTCATATCTATCTATGGCTTCCCCCCACTATCCAAAGACATGCAGACTCTAAATCCTTAGACGTGAGTGGTTGTTTGTCTATGTGTGGCCCTGCGATGGACTGTCCAGGGTGTACCCTGCCTTTCGCCCAATGTCAGCTGGGTTTGGTTCCAGCCCCCGCGACCCTGTACGCAGGATAAACAGGATATAGTTCCCAGAATTCAGACACTCCTGGAGCGAATGAAGATGACGCGACTCTCTTTATAAAAGGTCTCTAGCTCCACCGTCTCGTCCAAATATGGTCACGTCCGGTGCCGCTGGTTGCAAAACCTCAACATGGCGGCGCCCTATCGGCCAAACTCGAGGTTTCAAAACGGCAGTCCATAAACCAACGGGTCACGATGACTACATCCGTTTCTTATATGGAGTCTATGGTTCTGCAGCCTTTTAAAGGTAGTAGCCTACTGCCATAGTGATCAATGGCTGATGCTGCCAGGTGGTTGTATTAGAGGGTCCTGTTTGTATGTGCGTGCTCTGGGCGGCCATGGTGGAGTATACGGTAGACTGTTCTGGAGGGCCGGTCTGGAAGTCCAGGGCCATGTTTTATTCCCAGTCCGTCCATGTTAATAAGACATGAGCTCCCCTGAAAACACGACTATTGTAATATGTTGGGTGGTCTCTAAAATATCGACAATATGCTATTTTTGCGATTCATTTCTATTTTTCTGTAGCCTGTCAACACAGTCTCACTCCCTACTCGTCAAATGTCTGACGCATGGTCAAGGCCCTTTGTCGTCGCTTTTTAAAGACTTGGGTAGCCCTTTTGCATCAATTATTGACGTTTAGGGATCCACAGTCAAGTTAGCAACGCTTAGCAACAATAAATATGCAATATCCGGTTACACTTTCAAGATAAAACGTAACGTTTCGATACATTGCCATGTTGAAACGCGCATAATTAAAGTCGTGAAACGTTGCAGTTTCGTTAGGTTTAGGCACAGAAAGTACTTGGTTGGGTTTAGGCAACAAAACTACTTGGTTAAGGTTAGGAAAAGATCATGGTTTGGGTTAAAATAGCTATGTATGTCAATTAAGACTTAAGTTAACTAACGTTAATATCAATTTACCTCACTCGCCTAAATAAAAACATTTAATGTTTTGTTTCGCACGGGACACAAACCCTGTTCTCCTGCTTCAAGGTCCGGGTTCTGGCCCTCTATCCACCCCAATCACCTCCTTACTTCGTCTTTTCTCTTAAATATCATACTTGCCTTTACCATCAAAAACTGACACAACAGGGCTTCCCTCAATACGTCGAACTATGACGTCAAAGGGATCCCTAGTGCGTCACAAACTGACGATTATGGCTCTTGACCAAGCGTCCATATGTGACGACTTGGGAGTGAGACCGGGTTGAGCCTGTCATCATGGATCATGAGTAAATTAGTGTCGGGCTTCATCCAGCCAGAGGGATCACCAATCGTCCGCAGCGCACCAGTTTGCCCCTATGACCTCCCCCCCCTGCCCTGTAGGCTCCAGCGCCCTCTCTCTCTCCGGCGGTGAGTTGTGTTGCCAGTGGAACCGGCGCACTGTGGACGATCAGTGGTCGTTCCCTCTGACGGGATGAAGTCAGATCCTCCTAATCTATGTGTTACTGCAGCTCAAGTTTCTACGCTGCGCCGTGCAACTTTCTAAATTCTTCCATCTCACGAAGAAAATAAAGGTGTAGAAACAGTTGAAACAGTGTAGAGAGGGTGAACGGAAATAACCAGAACCTTTGAAGCCGGGTATGATTCGTTAATATACAGCTCACCGATTTAACTAATAGCAGTTCATGTTGGATGTACTGACAACTATCACTGAATTAATTTGATACTGAAGAAATGTTAAAAACTGGGGGTTTCCAACAGGCAACTTCTGAGGCGTTCCTGTTCCTAAAAACACACTTATGTTGATATTCAAGCTCATCTAAATTACATTTAATCAGGCACCGCCATTGCCCAAAAACGACTTGGTTTTTTGTTTTTCCGATTTGGTTTTGAAATGAAAAAATGAAAGAAAGAACCATACACGGATTCTTGTGATATTTGAGGCGTTAAAGGCTGGTTTCATTGTATGTCTTTTCCAGAGGCTTCTGAACCTCTTCCAATCCAAGTGTGGAACCTATTAAAACTATTATGTTTTCTAATTCTTTCTAATATTTTGTAATCAAATCTGCCACTCAGCTCTATGTACTTGCTGCTTAAAATAAGAGGTCAACCTTTTGGGTATTTTGTTTATTTGCATAGATTTTTTGTTACTAGTCTTTTGTACTATAAATATGAAGCTAGTAGGATAGCTCATAGCAAAAAGTGGAAGATTGTCTGGCGCTGTCCAGAGGTAACAAAATGTGCTTACCAGCACATGTAAAGCTCACATACATGTAATGTCTTGTTTGTTTAATTCATACAAAAGACAGGGCAGGGCTGCCAACTTTTCAATTTAGGAGTGAGATTCCGTATTAGAGGTCGGTTCATTGTAGGTTTCTGTGTCATATCAGGTGACTCTTTAATTCAGCATGCTACAGCCACATAAACCAAGTCAATAATCATGGTCAGATCAGTGTGAGCAGGACACTTGCCAACCTAACCATGTACTGAGGAGTCTTCCCCCACAGAATGTGTGTGTCAAAACCAAAGACTGTATTTCTTTTAATTCTTGAGAATGTATGTAATATTAAAGGTTAGTTCATATTTAGCAAGAGTGTATGTTTTTCTTTAGGGGCTGGGGGTCCTCCCCCAGCAAATGTTTTATCATTAAAAACCTAATTTCCTGCATTCTGGTAAAATTTTCTGCCTCAATTTATGTTGGAAATGTTTTTTTTACGGAAAAAACAGAAACACAAAACGCAGGCAGCAGGTGACAATTTAAAATCTAACATAACATAGTAGGTGAATGGCTTTCAAGCATTCTGTGTTCTTTTTCTTTCATGATTTAGTCTTCCTTCCATCCCCTGATACATCTTAACCGGGTTGCTGCACCCCCAAACCCCCTCTCTTTCTAGGTTTGCTATATATAAATTAGTTTTTATTATTATCATTTTGAAAGTCCGAATGAATACACAAACAGTCAAACCATGGGTCACAGGAGGGGCAGCACAATGTGGAACACAAATCATTGGAAGAGAGACTGATCCTCGTTGTTTGTGAGTTTCCAGAATCTATTACTGTTTACTAAATAGGACATCAACAGGAGGGAATTCACATGGCAGAGCATCCCCGCAAAATTAGATGAAGTCCTGTCAGACAAAGTTATGTAGCCTATAATTTTAACTTAAATTAAATAGGCTACAGCTGTGTAGCACACAGAAGCCGTTGCCACGATTACTCTCCATTGAGCGCCTGCCGCTTACTTGCGGAGCGCTTGTCTCCCTGTCTGATCACCTGAGGAGCACAGAGGAACCCTGCGGGGCCAAGCATCTATGTTGTGATTTTAAGGACGTTCCCAAGACCGACATCTTCCCCAACACTAATCAGCATGCAGGCTGATCAACATCCCACCCCTCCTGTGACCCATGGTTTGACTGTATGTGTGTTCAGAGCCAGTGAGGAACAGACTTAAATAAATAAAAATGATAAAAACTGCGTAAACATGCAATAAAATAATTGTCAGAGTTAATTAATTAATGTGTTAACGTTCCCAGCACACTATTAATAATAACGCTTTTTATTTTAAATTAAATTTATAATGGAAAGTTTTGAATTCGGGTTTTTATTTTATTAAAAATTCCACAAAATGATTGTTGTAGTTATTACACTACCACAATTACATTTTTCCTGTCGGGCACCCCCTAGAGGCAGCTTAGACCTTAAAACCGCCAACAGCAAGAAGAAGAAGAAGAAGCACAACTGGCAGGTCGACTTTCAGTTCAACACTTCCATCTTTGTGTCCAGCTGTGTGACCTGCAGAGCAGAAACAGGTGTGAGGTATCAGCTGTCAGCAGGTGAACAGAATGTCAGACATTATCTGCTGCACTTTGATCACATGACTCGTAGCAGCTGTTTCCTCTAAAGTCTCATCAGCAACATCTTTCTAAAACACAAACATCTGATCTGTGATGTTTCTCAGCTCAACTACCAGGAAGCAGCTTCACCTGAGAGACAAAGAGACACTCTGAGCTCTACACACTCACCTGAGAGACAAAGAGACACTCTGAGCTCTACACGCTCACCTGAGAGACAAAGAGACACTCTGAGCTCTACACGCTCACCTGAGAGACAAAGAGACACAAAGAGACACTCTGAGCTCTACACGCTCACCTGAGAGACAAAGAGACACTCTGAGCTCTACACGCTCACCTGAGAGACAAAGAGACACTCTGAGCTCTACACGCTCACCTGAGAGACAAAGAGACACTCTGAGCTCTACACGCTCACCTGAGAGACAAAGAGACACAAAGAGACACTCTGAGCTCTACACGCTCACCTGAGAGACAAAGAGACACTCTGAGCTCTACACGCTCACCTGAGAGACAAAGAGACACTCTGAGCTCTACACACTCACCTGAGAGACAAAGAGACACTCTGAGCTCTACACGCTCACCTGAGAGACAAAGAGACACTCTGAGCTCTACACGCTGACCTGAGAGACAAAGAGACACTCTGAGCTCTACACGCTCACCTGAGAGACAAAGAGACACTCTGAGCTCTACACGCTCACCTGAGAGACAAAGAGACACTCTGAGCTCTACACGCTCACCTGAGAGACAAAGAGACACTCTGAGCTCTACGCGCTCACCTGAGAGACAAAGAGACACTCTGAGCTCTACACGCTCACCTGAGAGACAAAGAGACACTCTGAGCTCTACACGCTCACCTGAGACACAAAGAGACGCTCTGAGCTCTACAAACTCACCTGAGAGACAAAGAGACACTCTGAGCTCTACACGCTCACCTGAGAGACAAAGAGACACTCTGAGCTCTACACGCTCACCTGAGAGACAAAGAGACACTCTGAGCTCTACGCGCTCACCTGAGAGACAAAGAGACACTCTGAGCTCTACACACTCACCTGAGAGACAAAGAGACACTCTGAGCTCTACACACTCACCTGAGAGACAAAGAGACACTCTGAGCTCTACGCGCTCACCTGAGAGACAAAGAGACACTCTGAGCTCTACACGCTCACCTGAGAGACAAAGAGACACTCTGAGCTCTACACGCTCACCTGAGAGACAGAGAGACACTCTGAGCTCTACACGCTCACCTGAGAGACAAAGAGACACTCTGAGCTCTACACGCTCACCTGAGACACAAAGAGACGCTCTGAGCTCTACAAACTCACCTGAGAGACAAAGAGACACTCTGAGCTCTTCACGCTCACCTGAGAGACAAAGAGACACTCTGAGCTCTACACGCTCACCTGAGACTGTGACAGTCAGCCTGATGATCATGAGTTTTTCTTGCTTTTTCTTGTTTTTCTCTCCAGTCGAACACTCATATGTTCCATTGTCAGTGGTTTGGACATTCATCAGAATCACAGAAGCGTCTCCGTCTGTCATCTCTGGATCACTCAGATTCACTCGACCATGAAAAGATGGATGCTGCTCGTCTTCCCATGAGCGGCTGTCACTGAAGAAGAAGACATAACCATCATCTGTCAGGTCAGTTCTGCTCCACGCTATCAGTGAGATGTTAACACCTCCGTAACACTGAAGAGTGGCGTCCTCTCCAGCCTTCACTGTCACCTCCTGTGTCTCTGAACAGAAAGAGAAAAGCCTCCAGTCAGGACTTGTAATGTTTCCTGTTGTTCAAACATCTTTTGATGGAAGCAGCAGAGATCAGGTCTCTATAAAACAGCACATGTGAACTCAGCAGCATTTCAAACCCTGTTCTCAGACAACTTGAGTCCCAGCTGCAGAAAGGAGAGACTAACTCCTCTGCTGCAGCTGCACGCTGACTTCATGTTGCTCATTTCTACAGCTGTCAGTCAAGTCGTCCTCCGCACCATCAGACAGGAGACATTTTACTTTCATCTGCTTTCTGCTTGTTTGGAGATTATTGATTATTGATATTATTTCCCATCTGAATACAGACATCAGCATTTCTGAGCCTGAACAAACAGCTGAAATATTAAACATGTGAAGTTTATTATTTCCTAGAAGCTTTGAATCTTTGTCCTTGTTTTCCAAATGTGTCCCCAGTCTGTCCGTCCTCTACTCAGACTGTGTCTGAACTACTTCTACTGAGGAAAGAGTCCCTACAGTATGAAACTGCTTTACTTCTCAGAGAGACAAATGAAGCTGCTGGATCTGCATGGACAGACACCACGAGAGGGGAGAGGACACATGTTGGTCTCTGCTGTCCATCCGTCCACACAGTAAACTACAGTGCTGGAGAGGAACAGAGGTCAGAGGTGGAGACTCTGTTCACATGTCAGATAAACTTTAGGAGGTTACAAACATATCCAGCATCAAAATGTATATTTTTATAAATAATATAAAATATACTAATCAGAGAGAGAAGTCTGCTAAAGAAATCGTCCACACAAAAACAAATAAAGAATGGGAAAATTAAGAATATGACGTTATAATTTTAGTTTAGTTCTTGCAGCGGTTTTGGAGAGCAGTGACGAAGATCAGAGGAGTTTCATTCTGACGTTGAAGAGGATCATCTACACAAGGGGTCCTAGACTACTTTGTTCAAGGGCCAGAATTTCTCTGAGCAAACGCTGCAAGGGCCAGACTTTGTTTTTTAGACCTAATTAGCAATTTCACAAAACAAATGTTTTTATTATCCTATATCACTTTGAACGGACTTATAAAAAATATAGTAAATCCCCAAGGAGGCTGTTCACAGAGGAGTGATGTTTAAACAGAATGCAGTTCTGAACAGGAAATATAAACCAACCATTTTTTATCCTGTCTGCTATTAGTCTGTGTATTTGCAACATTATTGTGCAGGTGACACCTGTAGTTACAGCCCGTTCTCATCTCAGGGCGTCATATACCGACCATACCGTAGGTATTTGACGCAAAAGGTACCCTTCAGCGTCTCATGAAGACGCACCCGGTGCGTCTCCTTCCAGAAGCGTCTGTATGAAACGCCCCGGGGCGTCCGGTTCAGACCTGAAGTGCTAGCTAGCAACGGTCGTGATAAAGCCCCCCCGAAGCCCCTTAGCACAACCACCAGGAATGTTAGTACCTAAACCTAAGTCACTGAATGTATGCATTTCGACCGGCTGACTTGTGTTGCTGCAACGTAGGAAACGGGGGCATTTCATACAGACGCTGAAGGGCCTTTAGCGTAAAATCCTTACGCTTTGTCACGCTGGCTGAAAGCGTCAGTTAGGACGCATTGAGATGAGAACGTGTTGGTAGTTAGTGGTGGTAACATGTGGGTTAATATGGTACAGGTACTACAGCTAAAGAAACTATTATCAAGGGCAATAACTGTTTCTTTTCAATGACTATGTGAGCAGTCATGATGGTCTGCGAACAGCTAAAGTGAAAGGAGGTGGTCACGTGTTGTCTGAGCAGGTGCAGGTGTGCAGCCGGTCTCCTGCAGCTCTTTATCTTCACTGTGTCTGCTGCTCCTGACTGTAAAATCTCTGCAATATCTCAAACTGGTCCGCTGTTGGAAAACTGTTGAAAATGACCGTTGTCCTGTTTTGTAGACGCATTTTTGATAAACGATGGCGGTCAGCGCTGATCTCACTCACAAACATTGCATTTCCTGTGACTACTTCAAAATAAATCTGAACTTGTGTTTCGCCAGTTAAAGTTTTTAATATGAAGCTGCAGTAGCAGGAAATGTTTAGTCTTCACAATAGGGATCCATTTAAAGATGGGTAAGTGGATTTATTTTATAGAAACCTTGTTTGCATTATCATTGAAATGCACTTATTCGTGCCAAGCTAAATGTGACCATCTTGGCTAAAATATGCTGCTTCTGTGCTGATTTGTGTCTCAGCAAGTTAATCATGAACAAACTGAAGGTTACTCTGTGTAAACGTTTGGGTAAAATTGAGATTCATAATAAATGTATAGGCATTTAGGCTGTTCTCTGTGATCTCCTTTTGATAACTAAAAATTATTTCTTCACTTCCATTCAGAATTTGAAAACTCTCTCAGGTGATGATGATTCCACATTTCATTTCATTTTATTTATTTATATCCTGTATATTTACACTGAATATAAAATCGCTGGAAATTTCTGTAGAGCTTTGCAATGGAAGAGAGAGTTTCCCCACCCCCACAGCTCAGGTGTGATTTGCCTGTGTTTGGGATGGACACGACAGGTAGCACACATGAAAAACTGGAATAGATACAGAGAAGATTAGTTGAAGGAAAAGCTGTCAGCGCCTCACACATCATTCACATTCTTGTTATGTATGAATGGATGCACATTCTTTAAACATTGTAAATTCAGGATTTAGGGGTTTCTCTAATACTTTTAGATTGAAAATAATGGAGGGTTTCTGTGTTTTTTAATACATATTAAACATTTGATTTGCAAAAAAGACTTATTGAAAAAGTGGAACATGCACTTTTCTTTCCTGTGTAGTAAACGTTTAGTTACGAAGAAAAACCTGTTGCAATGCTAATTTTTCATTTGCACACTTCCCATAAAGCTTGGTATGTAGTATAAAGTTATTACTTGTATTATCAGCCTAAGACTTTGATAAACCCATTTCAAGGACCAAAAGAATTTATCCACAAGAGATTTCAAGAATTTCAAAAATCTTACCTACATATTTCCCCTTTACAACCAAATGATCTCTCTCTCTTTATACAATGCTTTAGGGCAAGTGGTGAGCTTTTTATAAAGACAGCTTGGGTTCTTCTGCACATTTTGATATATAACACATGGTATCAACTTATGCAAGGGCCTCTAAAAGGTGAATTTAACAAGATTTGTAAAACTGAGGAAACATTCATGCGTTACAGGAGGTTTCACACATTTTTCTCTCTTTAAAGGGTTATATGTAGCTTTATGTAGCAGAGGCCACTAGCGGTGCGGTTTTTAGATCAGGAAATCAAAGACTGTTAAGCTCACATCTCTACATAGACCTGCGCCATCACTGTTCTGTCAGGGCGCAGGGCTCAATGTATGGCGGAGGTGTGGGACTGGACCATTTGAAAGTGCGTTTAGTGCATCCCCTATCTGAAGTATGTACACATTTATAGCTTATCTATATTTAAATAATAGCAGCATCTGAAATATAAGCCAGTAGCGGGAGCAACAACAGGCTATGTAAAAACGTGTGGAAGTGCAGCGTGAACATATTGAGTGGACAAGAGTGCATAATGTGAGATATGAAGGCTACATGAAATGTCTGACATGAAGGAAACAGTGTCCACTTTGACTGCGATTGAGCACCGAGCATCACCGCAGCGAGCCTCGCGCTCTGACAGAACACGGTGCGCCCGCTGAGTGCGTGCACCTGCATCCATTTCTCAGCTAGTTGTGTCGAGTTAATATAACATTAATCGCCTTACATCGGGTTATTACATCTTACATTTTTCATTATTATTCCGGCTGACTCATATTTATTTTTGTTTATGTTTGCAAATGAGCCAGATGAACGTAGACCTGATACAGTTGGTGCACTTCTTGCTTTTTCCATTACCACCAAGAAGCCATTTTTCATGATATTTCCTGTACTTGTTTAATAAAATTAGTAGCTCATAAACACAAGAAGCGTTTTTGTAGGCCTACCTGAGGAACCTTTCAATTCATCGCAAATGTAAAATACCTTTAAAAATGAGAATTCAACTGTTTTTATTTCCCTTCAGGATTTATTTGATTATTTGTTTAGTTAAAAGTAGGGCTAGTTAATTTGTAAAACTTTGTATGGTAATGGCAAACAGCAATAAAAAATTACAGCTCAGTTCATCGTTTTAATATTAACAGTTAAAAATAACAGAAAAAAGAAGAAAACCAGAACAAAACGTTGAACAATTGCAAACAGCAATAGTAGCTAACTATTCATTTGTAATCTTACATCGTGCATCTGAACAGCATGTGCCTCATTAGGTTTTTACTGACCACCTCTAACATTTCTTTAGATTTTAAGATCACCATGCATGAAACAAATTCATGCAATACATGTCAGTTTTAGAGCACGGATTAAGGTTTACTAAAATGTAGCCTAAGTTAACTTTAACAGTCATATAAATATGAGCTCTTCGATGTTCAAGGGACGTGATGAAGTGAAAAAGTTACCCCAGAAAAAAAACTTTCGCCGATATCTTCAGACTGGAGACGCGCATACTTCCAAATGTCCCACCAAGAGGACGCTAATATGCATGTGTAAACCCAAAATCACAGATCAGTCTTGTTGCGCACTTGAGTTATTTAAGGTGTTTCAACTGTACCCCTGTACCAACTCAGTCTACCCAGAGTGGCAACAACATCTGTCTAAATACGGAAAACTCCCGCGGATCAGCTGTTCTACCATCGTCTTCTGATATCTGGGTTTTATGCTGTTGTATAAAACAAAAACTTTCTTCCTCTTTATACCAAAGCACATGGCACACTCACTCCTCTTACCTTGACACAGAACAAAGATCCATGAACTTGCGAACAAAGTAAGGAGCAGCTCTGATGTTAAAGTGAACATGACAGCAGAGATGCAGCAGCTGATGGAGCAGAGACCAGACTGAGTTCTTCTTCCTGCTCTGTAGCTGTAGTTTGGTCAAAGCAGATGATTGTAAGGCTGTCAGATGTTTCTCCTGTAGATCAACCTTTCTGAGTCTACATATGCAGGCATGCCTGAAGTAGCCTAAAGTCGTTCTTAATGTGCATATGGCACCTTTTCATCTCAATGATAAATTAGCTAAATGAATTTTAATAAAGTAAAAAATATTTATTAATGATATATTGGGGGGTCTGGCGGTCCTCCCACAGAAGATTTTGAGCATTTTTATGGTGGAAATGTCTTTAGTTTTATAAAGGGAAGGAAAAAACTTAGGTGGCAGGTGATAATTCAGAATATAAAGATATAATAGAATGTAATGCAGTAATTTATCTATAAATCGCTTATTTTTTTGACCCACAACACAAGAAACAGCTCGAGCAGAGGGGGAGGGAGTGGGGGCTGGTAAGAGATGTGATTGGGTCAGCGCAATGTCAGTAATGGCCTATGCTTTGGGACGATTATTTTATAAAGAGCCTAAATTATTTGACTTGTAGCTAGATGAAACGAGCGCACCGCTCTTCACCAGAGAAAGAAATCCGAAATTGAAAACACTTATGATCAGACAGAAATATCACCACGATTCCACAGAAATGTTCACTTTTAAAGTGCAGCTCACGGCCGCTTTAGAGGGAATGAAGCATCCTGTAGACAGTGAAACAGTAGCGTCTCACAGCGAGGGGGACAGAGACAGCAGGACACAGTGCGTCAGGTGTCTTGATATTGTCTCTCTACTTTGTGTTAATACATTGACTAGAAACTGACCGACAGCATTTATATTTAAATGTAGGCTATTGATTTCAATTTTGCTAGATTCAAGTTGCGGACAAGCCCTTAGGGGTGAGCATTGCTCTCTCTCTCTCTCTCTCTCTCTCTCTCTCTCTCTCTCTCTCTCTCTCTCTCTCTCTCTCTCTCTCCTCTCGTGCTTACTCACAGGCAGGCTGAGTAACGGCAGGGGGTCACGTTACGTGAACTTCAAACAAAATGTAGCAATAGTATTGCGAGTAGCCCCCCGCTCTTTCCCTTAGCTCTTATTTCCGCTGCATATTAACATGGAAAACATTTTTGCTGCTGTTGTTGATTTACATTAAGTCATGCATACAGTCACAACATCGGGGCTACAGCCCCGTAAAAATGACCTGGCGACGCCATTGCCTTATCATAGTGTTGATGGCTGCACTCAAAATTACATTTTGTACCAAATTCTTCACCAGATAAAACAATTCCATATGTCTCTAGTAAATTGTTGACAGATCAAATGTTGTTTTCCATCCATTCATTGAAATACAAGGACTTATTTCTAAAGAGAATAAATCTGCAATTCCACATTGGTACATCAGGGGGCGTAACACGGTAATTTCCAATACAACAGCACTTGTGAATCAAAATCAGACTCGGAAAAGCTTTTATTGCCAAGTAGGAATTTGTTTTGGACATAAGCTGCTACACATAGACAAACAAAGACAAACATACAGTTGACATAAATAAATTTAGAAATATATAAATCTGGGATAGATTGACAAAATATAAAAAATGTAGAAGAATATTGATTAATACATAACAACAAACAACAAATATTTGCAATACACCGGGTATGTGCAATGATGCAGACAGCTTTTAAGTACTGGAACATTAAAGTCACAGCGTAAAAGGAAACAAATACCTGGAGACACCAAAAACTGCCACTGTTTGCTATAGGATCTCCATGTGTACCATCAAAGTCTGTGGCTTGTAGCCCACCATCTTCATAGTCTTTGACTACAGTAGCCTTTTTCAGATAATGAGGTTTTCTTTTCCAGATGTAATCAAAGTTTATTGTACTGATGGTTTTAGTAGCTTTGTTGGGAATAAACAGAGAATAGGCTGATTAAATGCATCTTAAAAGGCTTTCCACTTTGGTTATATAGATGCGACCAAAAAGAGAAAGATTATTTAACCATCTTAATCTTGATTTACATTTATTCATTTTGTATGATTCATTTAAGGTTTCACTTAACTTAGTATGTTTGGTGATATGTGTACTTGAGTATTTGACTGTAGTTTTAATAAGGATATCAGTTGCTGCCTCAAGGTGTCGGTCATGTATAATATAGATAATACAGATAATACAGATAATACAGATAATACTCACACAGTTCAGTTGTATGTAACCCAGATGCTTTTGAGAATGAGTCTATAATTTCAGTAGCCTTTGCCTGCTCAACATTTTTAAGAAACAAGGTTGTGTCGTCAGCCAGCTGACTTATAATTATTTGGTAATAAAAGACATATTTTCAGTGTCTAATGTTTATGATGAGGACTGACAGCATTTCAGCTGTGAAGAGTGAGGGTGAGATGGGGCAGCATTGTTTTATGCCTCTGTTGATAGTGAAGCGAGGGGTGGTGCCACCTGAGAGAGATATTGCAGGTCTTCCAGCTTGTGCGGTGAAACCCTTATAAATGGTTCAGAACGCAGCAGCGCGTCTGGTTTTTGATCAACCCAAAAGGACTCATGTCACTCCATTACTCAGTGACCTCCACTGGCTCCCCGTGGCCTCCAGAATCAAATTCAAGTCACTAATGCTTGCATACAGAGTGACTACTGGGTCTGCATCCATCTACCTAAACTCCATAATACAAACTTACGTTCCTTCTCGGCCGCTAAGCTCCTCCAACGAACGCCGCCTGGCTCTGCCATCCCTTCACACAAAGCAATCCCAGTCCTGGCTATTCTCATCTGTGACACCACGATGGTGGAACAAGCTACCACACGCCATCAGAGCAGGGGCATCCCTCTCTAACATCAAGAAGCTCTTGAAAACTCATCTCTTCTGAGAACACTTCCTCTTATAACACCTCTAACTCCTAACCTCTAACATGCACTTCCTGTGCTCTTCTTCTTCTATCCCCTACAATGATCTTGTACTGATTGCACTTTTTGCTAACTCTTACTTCCTTCCCTTGGTATTTACCCCATTGATTCAATATGTGCTATGAGCTCTTACTAGTATTTATTGCTGCTCTTACTAGTATGTATTGTCAGTTGTGCCTGTGCAAGTGGATCGCTGTCAGATGATGAGCCGTCAGATGCAGAATGAATGGCAGAAAATATAACTGAGGAGCCCCCTCCTGCCCCCTCGTGGCGCCGGGCCTGGTGTAGAGAAGGCCTAATAGGCTACCTAAATTATAGGAACCTCTGAAATATAAGCCAGTAGCGGGAGAAGCCTAATAAAAACAGGCCATGTAAAAAGTGTGGAAGTGCAGCGTGAACATTTATATTGAGTGGACAGTAGGCCTAGTGCATAATGTGAAATATGAAGGCTGCATAAAAAGTCTGACATGAAGTAAACAGTGTCCACTTTGACTGCGTTTGAGCACCGAGCGTCACCACTGTAAACACAGCGTTTTTGCAGGCCTACCTGAGAAACCTGTCCGTTCTGCTGTAAAGCTGCCTAACCAATTCATTGCAAATGTAAAATACCTTTAAAAATGAGAATTGAACGTTTTTTATCTTCATACAGTATTTATTTGATTAGTTGTTTAGTTAAAAGTAGTTAATGGCAAAGATGTACATTTAAGTTCATAAGTTTAATAGTAACAGTTAAAAATAACAGAAACTACAGTTATATTCAACACAACAGTTAAAAAGTTTTTTTTTTAAAACAGAAAAACCGTTGATCAGTTGCAAACAGCAACATTAACAATTAAGTTGTTTTCTTACAATGAGAAGCTCTTTCATGTGGAAGGGACGGGGTGAAGTGAAAAAGTTAAAACAAATTCACAGATCAGGCTTGTTGCACACTGAAGTTATTTAAACTGTACTCAGTCTACCCAAAGTGGCTGTTCTACGGTCGTCTTCTGATATGTGTTTTATGCTGTTGCATAAAACAAAACTTTCTTCCTATTTGTTTATGAAGATTCTCAGTCATCCAGGTCATAGTTATCCAAAGAAGGTTAAAGTCAAGGGCAACTGGACTTGGTTGAAGATACTGGAAAACCGGGTATAGGTTACGTTTGTTGAGTTTCCTGGGAAGTGATGAAAGGACAGCATTGTAAGTGGTGGCCAGTATATTCAGTCCAGTTGCCCTTGACTTTAACCTTCGTTGGATTTCTTCCTCTTTATACCAAAGCACATGGCAAACTCACTCCTCGTACCTTGACACAGAACAAACATCCATGAACTTGCGAACAAAGTAAGGAACAGCTCTGATGTTAAAGTGAACATGACAGCAGAGATGCAGCAGCTGATGGAGCTGAGACCAGACTGAGTTCTTCTTCCTGCTCTGTAGCTGTAGTTTGGTCAAAGCCAAAGATATAGACTGTTTGGTCAAAGCAGATGATTGGCTTTCTAGCGGGAGGGACGGCATAACCGGCCTCTTTGGTGTTACTGAATTCCCGCTAGTTATTATTTAAATTTTTATATAGGCTATAAAATGTAGGCTACAACAATATTTGGCACAGTGAACGGTTGCAACGGTATTGGTGCTTACAAGAAACAAAGCACACAGGAGAGAAGATAATGACAATGATACAAAACAAATGACCATCGGCCATTAGGAAAAACAAATGAACAGAAACAGAAGCGGAACAGCTCAGACTAAAGGTATCTGCAGCCCTTTTTAATGTGAAGCCCCCCCTTCCAACCTCACCATCCAAGAAAGGAAGGCTGTGACATCTCTGAGCAAGGATCAAACCATCACTATCCTACCTGCTGACAAAGGAAGATGAACGGTAGTCCTTAACACAGCTGACTACCAGAACAAAGTCAACACACTACTAATGGACACAAACACGTATGAGACACTGAGACGAGACCCAACCAGCGGATACAAGAAAAAGGCCATAGAATGTCTACAACAGTTACAGAAGGACAACACCATCACCCGTGAACAATATTACCGTCTGTATCCTGGAGAAGCCATTCCATGCATTTATGGACTACCCAAGATACACAAAGAAGGAGCCCCACTCAGGCCGATTATCAGCAGCATCAACTCGGTCACCTACAACATTGCCAAACACATTTCTACCATCTTAGCTCTTTAGGTGGGAAACACGCCTCACCACGTCCAAAACTCTATTGACTTTGTAAACAAAGTTCGAGGACTGGATCCAGATGAAACCACGTGACTTCTTTGTTCACCTGCATCCCCACCATAGAGGCAGTAGAAACCGTTAGGAAACGGCTAACACAAGACAACACCCTGGACAACAGAACTAGCCTCAGCCCTGACCAAATCTGTAAATTACTAGACCTCTGTCTAAACACCACCTACTTCCAGTACAATGGAGGATTGTACAGACAGAAGCATGGCTGTGCCAGGGGCTCACCGGTATCCCCGATTGTGGCCAACATCTACATGGAAGAAGTGAAGAGTAAAGCCCTCAACTCCTTCAGAGGAATAGCACCGAGCCACTGGTACAGATATGTGGACGACACCTGGGTCAAAATTAAAAGCCAGGAAGTGCAAGCCTTCACAGAACACATCAACTCTGTGGACAGTAACATCAAGTTCACACGAGAAGATGTTCACAACAACAGTTTGGCCTTCTTGGACTGCGCTGTACACATTGAAGAGGACAGGAGCCTGCAGATTGGTGTTTACAGAAAACCCACACACACAGACCAATACCTACTCTTCGATTCCCACCACCCACTGGAGCACAAGCTAGGGGTCATGAGAACACTGCACCACAGAGCAGAAAACATACCAACAAGCGCCCAAGCCAGAGAGAAGGAACAGAACCACCTGAAGGGGGCACTTACAGCCTGTGGATACCCTAAATGGACCTTTGTGAAAACAGCCACAAGATCCAAGAAGAACAAAACTACAGGGGAGGAGGAAAAGAAGGTTAAACGCAACAACATTGTGATTCCATACGTGTCTGGAGTATCAGAGAAACTCAGGAGGATTTTCAACAAACACAACATCCCTGTGTTTTTTAAACCCAAGAACACACTAAGACAGATGCTGGTACACCCCAAAGACCGCACACCCAAACACAAGAAAAGCAATCTAGTGTATGCGGTCCAATGCAGTGAGGAATGCACAGACCTGTATATTGGGGAGACTAAACAACCACTACACAAACGCATGGCTCAACTCAGAAGGGCCAACTCCTCAGGTCAAGACTCTGCAGTCTACTTACATCTGAAGGACAGAGGACACTCGTTTGAGGACCACCAGGTGCACATTTTAGACAGAGAAGATGGATGGTTTGAAAGAGGTGTCAAGGAAGCATCTACACCAGGGTGGAGAAGCCGTCATTGAACAGGGGAGGGGGTCTACGCCACCACTTATCCCCCACTTACAATGCGGTCCTTTCATCACTTCCCAGGAAACTCAACAAACGTAACCTATTGGCCTCAGGTGAAGATACCAACGATGGTCGTTCAGTCTTGGCCACAGGTAGTCTTAACGACTGTAACGACTGTCGTCACAGCAACAAGGAACACTAACGAACCAGCGGTATCGATGACCCGGGCCAACGACCCCACTGAGGTTAAATAGCTGAGTTTCCCTGCCAGTCAGTCAGAACTGAAGAAGTCCTTTGGATGAGGGACGAAACGTCTTCCAGTATCTTCAACCAAGTCCAGTTGCCCTTCATTTTAACCTTCGTTGGATAACTATGACCTGGATGACTGAGAATCTTCATTTACACTTAATGAAGCAATAACCAACCTGTCACTTCCACAGACTTTGAGGCAAGGTGTAAATGTTCTCAAAACAAAGATCCCAAAATCCTGGACAACTGAAAGGGAGTAACACATTTAAACAATGACTACAAATTGCTAACACATATTCTCAAATAGTCTAAAAGAGGGTCTCGCTCAAATAATAAGTGATCGTCAGAATTTATGAAAGGTACAAATACACAATAACGGCCGCCTTGTCCTTGATTTTGTTATAATGAGCATATAAATAACGATGATGGCTTTGTTCTCTCTTTGGATTTTTATAAAGCATTTTACACGGTTAAACACTCCTTTATTTTCAGGGCTTTGGAACTCAGTGGCTTTAGGGAGAAATTTAGAAACACTACAAAATATTTTAGAACGACACCAACAGCTCAATATCTGTCCCTCACTCTTCATAATCACAGCTGAAATGCTGTCAGTCCTCATCATAAACATTAGACATTGAACAAATATGTCTTTTATAACCAAATAATTATAAGTCAGCTGGCTGATGACACAGCCTTGTTTCTTAAAAATGTTGAGCAGGCAAAGGCTACTGAAATTACAGAACTGTGTGAGTTATTAGCTATACATGACTGCCACCGTGAGGCAGCAACTGGTATCCTTATTAAAACAGTATGTTTTGTAATACAATTTTGACAAAATCTGCTTCTATATTTTCCTTTGCAAGTGTTTTTGATGCTGCCTCACTGTGCTCCCTCCCTTTTCTCCCAAAGCACACGAACTTGCTCACACACACACACACACATATGCTACTGTTGAGCCTGTGCAGTTAGATACAGAAAGGAGCACACACACTCAGAGCTATAGAGTTTTAACACTGTGATCCTAACTTTACACTGTAAAATAACACTTTAAATGATGAACATGTAGACCACCATTGCTCTAGTAATAGGCTATAATGCTTCAAAATAGTACAGTTTCAGTACAGTTCAGATAATGAGGTTTTCTTTTCCAGATGTAATCAAAGTTTATTGTATTGATGGTTTTTCTTCTTTGTTGGGAACAGACAGAGGATAATCTGGCTAAATACATCTTCAAAGATCTCTATTTAACAATCTGCCTAATCTTGATTTACATGTATTAATTTCTTCCATATTTAAGGTTTCACTTAACTTAGTATGTTTGGTGATATGTGTACCTGAGTATTTGACTGTATGTCCTGTTTCTAGCACGGAGCACAAACAACACCAGTTTATTCCATAAAAGTCAGGTTATGGATGAAATAGCATGATCAAGCAGAGTGCATGCAAAAGACACAGAGAGGAGGAGCAGGCAGTCAGTGACTTTCCCAGATTCAGGTGCAGAAGGAAAGAGAGCCAAGAGATGATGTGAAGCCAAGAAACAGAGCAATAAAAGGAGGTGAAAGTCAGTCGTTACATGGTTTTCATGTCGACTCGGGTCTCTGTTCTGGTAACAGAATGGGACTCTATTTTGCACCGATCTCTGACACACTCTGGTGGAACTTTTATATTCTAATTGGTGTCTGAATTTCTACACGACATTACTACAAGCCAGAGACTTTGACTGTATACGCCCCCTGATGTGCCCATGTGGAAATGCAGATTCATTCTCTTTAGAAATAAGTCCCTGTATTTCAATGAATGGATGGAAAACAACATTTGGTCTGTCAACCATTTACTAGACACATATGGAAATTATCTGGTGAAGAATTTGGTGCAAAATTTAATTTTCAGTGCAACCATCAACACTATGATAAGGTTGTCCAAAGCGTCCCATCTGCTTTCTTTCTGATGGCAATAACTGCTCTATATGTTCAACCCCCCTCATCTTCCTTCATTGATGTTCGCTGGTCACGAGTTCTCTAGTAAGAATTTACAAAACAAAGCATTACAGCTGAAACTCTGCTTCGCACATCTTCAGACAGTCTACTTTGAATAAACTATGTACACATTTCTGAAAAGTTACCTTAACCCACGTATCCTAAAGAGCTTCAACATTGTCCAGCACCGTTGCTTTAAAAGTTGCTCCGTGTATCATCAACTTTCTCCTGTCACATGATTGGCTGGAGCCTACTCTCCAGTCTCCATTCAGTTTCACTAGACACATCACATTAGGAGTTATAATGAAGAGCAAACACTATGAACTGTTTCTACATAGCCTACTTTAATTATCTTGGTATCTCATCCAGGAATGTAAATGTATAAAAAACAGCCTTTATTTACTGTCTTCAAAAAAACAATTTGCATTGTAAAATAAAAGCATGTATGAAGAAGAAAACAGCAGAAATACTGCTTAATTTGATTGGTGCCTCAAACTGACGTCCCTTAACACTGTTTTGTTAGTTTGTTTATTTTCGTTTTTGTTTTGTATCTTTGTCATTATCTTCTCTCCTGTGTGCTTTGTTTCTTGTAAGCACCAATACCGTTGCAACCGTTCATTGTGCCAAATATTGTTGAACATTTTATATAAAAAGTCACCAAAGAGGCCGGTTATGTCGTCCCTCCCGCTAGAAAGCCAATCTGATCTGCTTTGACCAAACAGTCTATATCTTTGGCTTTGACCAAACTACAGCTACAGAGCAGGAAGAAGAACTCAGTCTGGTCTCAGCTCCATCAGCTGCTGCATCTCTGCTGTCATGTTCACTTTAACATCAGAGCTGTTCCTTACTTTGTTCGCAAGTTCATGGATCTTTGTTCTGTGTCAAGGTAAGAGGAGTGAGTGTGCCATGTGCTTTGGTATAAAGAGGAAGAAAGTTTTTGTTTTATACAACAGCATAAAACCCAGATATCAGAAGACGATGGTAGAACAGCTGATCCGCGGGAGTTTTCCGTATTTAGACAGATGTTGTTGCCACTCTGGGTAGACTGAGTTGGTACAGGGGTGCAGTTGAAACACCTTAAATAACTCAAGTGCGCAACAAGACTGATCTGTGATTTTGGGTTTACACATGCATATTAGCGTCCTCTTGGTGGGACATTTGGAAGTATGCGCGTCTCCAGTCTGAAGATATCGGCGAAAGTTTTTTTTCTGGGGTAACTTTTTCACTTCATCACGTCCCTTGAACATCGAAGAGCTTCTCATATTTATATGACTGTTAAAGTTAACTTAGGCTACATTTTAGTAAACCTTAATCTGTGCTCTAAAAATTGACATATATTGCATGACTTTGTTTCATGATCGTCTTCAAATCTAAAGAAATGTTCGAGGTGGTCAGTAAAATCCTAATGAGGCACATGCTGTTCAGATGCACGATGTAAGAAATTAATAGTTAATATTGTTATTTGCAATTGTTCAAAGTTTTGTTCTAGTTTAAAAAACATTATTTTTATTGCTGTTTGCCATTACCATACAAAGTTTTACAAATGAACTACTTTTAACTAAACAATCTATAATATATAAATACTGAATGAAGATAAAAACAGTTCAATTCTCATTTTATAGGGATTTTACATTTGCAATGAATTGGTTAGGCAGATTTACAGCAGAAAAGTTCACCAACTGTACTAGGTCTACCTACTTTTTGCTGATTTGCAAAAAATAAATAAAAATATAAATATGAGTCAGACAGCCGAAATAATAATGAAAGGGGTAATGACCCGATGTAAGGCGATTAACGTTATATTAACATGAGAAATAGATGCAGGTGCACGCGCTCAGCAGGCGCACTTCGAAAACGACAGTGAAGCCGGGCCTCGAGCTGTTTTGCCATACCTGTTTTTAACTAGCCATTATAGTAACATCAGCACAGCAGCACATTTGAAAATAAAAGTGAGCTTCTGCTGAACATAATGCAATCGGTGTGGCAGAAACGACTGAGTAAGTAAAAAAACACGCATCACAAAACAGCGCGAGGGCCGGCTGGACTGCAGTTGATGCTCAGTGTTCAAACGCAGTCAAAGTGGACCCTGTTTCCTTCATGTCAGACTTTTTAAGTAGCCTTCATATCTCACATTATGCACTACTGTCCACTCAATATGTTCACGCTGCACTTCCACACGTGTTTACATGGTCTGTTGTTGCTCCCGCTACTGGCTTATATTTCAGATGCAGATATTATTTAGGTATTAGGCCTTTTCTACACCAGGCCCGGCGCCACAAGGTGGCAGGAGGGGGCTCAGTTATATTTTCTGCCATTCATTCTGCATCGGACGGCTCATCATCTGACAGCGATCCACTTGCACATGTCGGACATGCGCAAAGGCTGTTTTCGTTTTCAATTGTCAACAGCAACAGCTGGCTGAACAGAGTGAAAACTTTTAGGGAGGCATGATCATCAAACCGAATGATCCAGCACCGAAAATTTCCACCCACGGGATGAAAACAAATACAGAAATGGGCCTAACCTACGGTTATCAAAAAGACCAAAAAGATTTTTGGCCCTATCGTGCACCCAGCACAAAGCGCAGCGCAAGTGTCTAGTTTCCAACCGGCGCAGTTGACATTTGCACGCCAAGCGACCAAGTTATAGCAAATGCACTTGCGCCCATCTGAGAGCCTATGGGAGTGTTGGTCTTAACATGATGTGTGGTCAGGCACATTGTTGGTACATTGCTATATTGAGGCAGCAGAAAGCGATTGCACCATTGACCCCCCAAAACAGGTCTAAAGTCTATGGCACAGTATTTCACTGTTTTTTATACTTTAGGGCCGCATTACTGTGACACTGTGCGCATTTACCCACGAGGTACAGCAGCGTAACTTCATTGATTATTAAAATCTCCTGACACGCTGACAGGATCTAATGTTAATTGATGTTCTGTGTTCTTCTACACATCCAAACAGTCTCACATACAGTCCAGGTTCATACAGAGAAACTGTTTGGAGTAAATAATAATAATAATAATAATCCTTATTTGTAGAGCACTTTTCAAAAACAAGTTACAAAGTGCTTTAACAAGTGTAAAGAATAGTACAAAAAAACAAGATAAGAGTATGAAAGTTTAATATAAAATTAGTGAAATACAATAAAAAGTGATCAAATAAAGTCAAATTAGAACTTTAAGTAAAGCAGCCGTCCTCCTGATCAGTCCTCCATCAGAGCGTCTAAATAATTTCAAAAGCTAAAAGTTGAATTCTGTTTCCTCTGGAGAGTTTCCTCTGTCCTGTCAAGTTTATAACTTAGGCTTTTTCTGTTTTGCTGCTCAAATACCCCACGATAGCCTATTAGTTGTGACTTTATTGCGCACATGATGTTAAAATGACTGACAGCAGCATCTCTAAGCATGAAAGTAAATCGTTAGAGACAAATTCTCATACATAAATAAAAATTACTAAACAAAATAAAGAAACCAGTGCAGGGGACCCACGACAGGTTCATCATAGTTTATATTAACGCAGCGCAGTGAGAATCCAGACGTTTCATAGAGGAGTCAGCGTCTGTCTCTTAACAGACCAGAGTTCCGACACTTGACTGATAAAGTGATGGTGAGTGTGTTTCTGCCACTACATATCAAAGTTTCCTCCTCACTAGAGGAAGAGGTGTACAGCCTGGAGCCTGATCCTTCTCACAAGAGGTGTTACAATAACTATCACAATAGAAAGTGAACTCAGTCGCGGGAGGGGGATAAAGACACGCCACCGACCCAAGGATCGGTACGTGACGTCACCGTCACAGGAAGCTCTTCTGCCGGCTGCGCGCACAGGTCCGTGTGTGGCGGTAACGTCACTTACTGATCCTTTAGAAATGCCTGGGAAAATGTAAGGTGTGCGGAAGCTACGGCGCTACTCGGTCAATAAAAGAGCTTCGTACTGAAAAGCTATTTGATTCAGAAAATAGCGACGCTACCACCAAGCTGAGAAATTAAACTAGTAACGCTGGCAGCAGAGCAACACGGGCTTCATGATCGGAAATGGTTTTTATATCACGTCCACACTTCTCCCATATCCCCTCTCTGCTGTGAGTCTGCAGTTCAGTCAGTCGTGGTATTTTTCATAATGCCCCACTCATAAGCTGTTATAGCAATGCGCACCTCGCTTTAAAAGGGAAGGAGAAATGACACTGATTGGTGTATTGCATGTTATACCCTACACACACATGACTAATTCACAGTACGACATTTTTTAATATATACATATATATATCTTTTGATTTCCTGAAACATTTGGAAAACAAGGACAAAGATTCAAAGCTTCTAGGAAATGATAAACTTCACATGTTTAATATTTCAGCTGTTTGTTCAGGGTCAGAAATGCTGATGTCTGTATTCAGATGGGAAATAATATCAATAATCAATAATCTCCAAACAAGCAGAAAGCAGATGAAAGTAAAATGTCTCCTGTCTGATGGTGCGGAGGACGACTTGACTGACAGCTGTAGAAATGAGCAACATGAAGTCAGCGTGCAGCTGCAGCAGAGGAGTTAGTCTCTCCTTTCTGCAGCTGGGACTCAAGTTGTCTGAGAACAGGGTTTGAAATGCTGCTGAGTTCACATGTGCTGTTTTATAGAGACCTGATCTCTGCTGCTTCCATCAAAAGATGTTTGAACAACAGGAAACATTACAAGTCCTGACTGGAGGCTTTTCTCTTTCTGTTCAGAGACACAGGAGGTGAAGGCTGGAGAGGACGCCACTCTTCAGTGTCAGAGTCACGGAGGGGCTGACATCACAGTGATAGCGTGGAGCAGAACTGACCTGAAGCCAGATGATGGTTATGTCTTCTTCTTCAGAGACAACCTCTTGCGTAAAGATGACCAGCATTCATCTTTTCAGGGTCGAGTGAATCTGAGAGATCCAGAGAAGAAGAACGGAGACGCTTCTGTGATTCTGAAGAACGTCAAGATCAACGACACTGGAACATATGAGTGTCGGATTGGAGAAGGAAACAAGGAAGGCAAATCTGATCCCAGCAGCGTCATCAAGTTGACAGTGACAGGTGAGCGTGTAGAGCTCAGAGTGTCTCTTTGTCTCTCAGGTGAGCGTGTAGAGCTCAGAGTGTCTCTTTGTCTCTCAGGTGAGCGTGTAGAGCTCAGAGTGTCTCTTTGTCTCTCAGGTGAGCGTGTAGAGCTCAGAGTGTCTCTTTGTCTCTCAGGTGAGCGTGTAGAGCTCAGAGTGTCTCTTTGTCTCTCAGGTGAGCGTGTAGAGCTCAGAGTGTCTCTTTGTCTCTCAGGTCAGCGTGTAGAGCTCAGAGTGTCTCTTTGTCTCTCAGGTGAAGCAGCTTCCTGGTAGTTGAGCTGAGAAACATCACAGATCAGATGTTTGTGTTTTAGAAAGATGTTGCTGATGAGACTTTAGAGGAAACAGCTGCTACGAGTCATGTGACCAAAGTTCAGTAGATAATGTCTGACATTTTGTCCACCTGCTGACAGCTGATACCTCACACCTGTTTCTGCTCTGCAGGTCACACAGATGGACACAAGGAGGGAGGAGACAAGGAGGGAGGAGACAAGGAGAGAAATGTTGGACTAAAAGTCGACCTGCCAGTTGTTCTTCTTCTTGCTGTTGCTGTTGGTGGTTTTATGTTCTAAAAATCACAAAGGTAAGACAAGTTCTTTGTATATCACATTTAATCAACAAGACACTTCAAAGTGCTTTACATAAAACATAAAAGCAACATAGTGAAATTAAAAAAAAAAACAGAGAAAAACAACTCACACAGAAACACAGACACACTTCTTAAAATCATCACCACCATCAGTCTGACAGATCCAGGTGAGTGTGTCGAGCTCAGAGTGTCTCTTTGTCTCTCTGTACCACGAAGCAGGATTTGAGCCTATCCAGGTAACTTTGGGGTTAATCCTGTGTTTTCAGTACCATGACGATGGTTCACTTCTTACTGGTGTAGATCTCCATGTTAACTTATGCTGAACGGCTAACCTGCTCCAGAGCAGGTTATGTTCCAGATAAGAGATCAACTCTATAAAAACGCTGCCTACTGACCAATCAGCTCTCTGGAAAACGACATCACCATCTGTAGGAAATCCCACAGACTGTTTTATAGGCTGCTTTATGTTTACTGTGGTGAAACTCTTGTATAGTGATGTCATCCTATTGAAGCACTAAAGCCATGTACATGTTTTACTTTTAAGACATGAGCCTACTCACTGATTTGAAGTACGTTTTATATTTGCTCTATTTTACACATCCTAATGGGTTTTCTTGTGAGGTTGAATATTATGAGAACATAGTTAGGTAGGATTATTGAAATGAAGTTTATAAGAGTTTGTTGATATTTGTTTGTTATAGTACAGAGACCGCCCACCTTTTGTTATGTGGGATGTTTTCAGTAAATGTTCAGTTTCAGTCTTTCGACCACTTTTGAGCACTTTTTATGATATGATGTTTTGTTGCTTTAACTAGAACAGTGTTTGGAGCTGTTATAATGAATATTAAATTTTTGAAACCACTAGAAGTTCTTGAAAGGGATTTGAACGACCACTTCAGTGCCTGCATTCATATTAAACGCCTGTTAACTTCCTAACGGGCTGCGTGTGGCAACTGCAGCTCTGCTGCAATAAGTTTGGATTATGTTACGTTTTACTCTAAAATTTTAGTTTGCTCTTGTAAAATATGCCGCTCTGCTGCCACTAGACTTGTTCATGTCTGCGATTGGTCATCTGCTGCTAACTCTGCCTCTTTAATGTGAATGCGCTCATAGCTGGATTAGGAAAAGCTGGGTTGACTTACTGAGATTGTTAGTGAAGCCAGGTAACAAAAAGCCATCCTGGGCATGTTGAACTTGCTTCGTAGTAAAGGCTCCTGGTATTTGAGCTGAGAAACATCACAGATCAGATGTTTGTGTTTTAGAAAGATGTTGCTGATGAGACTTTAGAGGAAACAGTTGCTACGAGTCATGTGATCAAAGTGCAGTAGATAATGTCTGACATTCTGTTCACCTGCTGACAGCTGATACCTCACACCTGTTTCTGCTCTGCAGGTCACACAGCTGGACACAAGGAGGGAGGAGACAAGGAGGGAAATGTTTCACAGACAGGTGGTGTGCTCGCTCTTGTTGGTGCTGGTTTTATGATCTTTAGAAAATGTTAAGGAAGCACTGAATTATAATTCAAAAGGAAATTCTGTAGTGATCTTTATTTCTCATATAACCAACTAAATGTTTTTGAATTTGTATTTTACGGCGCTCCAAAGGGTCACTGCAACAATATTTACTTTTATACTTTTGCATTCCATCTCAATATGTTTGACATGACTTCAGAATACATTTCTCCTTCCATTCGTTCTGAGCCACAGTTGTGTCCAGTGTTTCCCACAGCAGCTTATTTCATATTTCACCCTTTTTACTCCACTGAATTTTCCACCCGTGTTTACTCACTACTTGAATCGTATCGTGATTTTTTCTTGCACTTCTCACAAGCCCCATCTCTCTCTAGTCTGTCATGCACAGCTGCACACAAAAAATAAAGGTGCTAACTAGAAACAAAAATGGTTCTTCAGAGTGAAACCACAGAAGAACCATTTTTAGTTCCAAAAAGAACCTTTTAGCAAGTAGTGCTTTAAAGAACCATTTCTGCAAACGTTTTTTTGAGGATCCTTCGAGGTGAGAGGCGGCCGCCTTGCAGATTCAGTGTCACTTATCACTTCCTGTGGCGCTACAAAGCACTTGGCGCTACAACTATAAGTTAGTATTGGCATGTAGATGTGACTGTTGTCAAGCACGTAAAGTTTGGTACAGATTTGAGCAGGTACAGTAGTGTGTAGCATGGAGCTTTGCTGCCACGCCATCTATACGCCGTTAAGGAAACCCACAAACTTTACAATATGACATCATCAATATGTAAAGGGTTTGTTTTCTGAGATAGTTTTGAAGCAGATATAGCCAACCTGCAAGAAGTGCTTCATCACAGCATAAATGTAGTCACTTCCTGTTGCCAGCAGATGACTTTGAGTCAATATTGGCACATTGATGTGTTCAGGGCGCGACTCTTATGTATTCCATTTGGTACAGATGTGAGGATGTAGACTGAAGTTACAACAACTTCCTGTTTTATTGCAAATCATCGATTTTTGACGCCACGGCGTTCCACAAAAACTCACCGTTCACACAACTTTTATTCATCAATGGGTTTAGACTGCACAGCACAAATCTGAAGTCGGTCTAATTCTGTTTTGTAGAGGTTTATTTATTCTTATAAAACAGGTAGCTCAAATCAAGCAATCTGATTGGTTCATAGTAGTGATATAATGAGCGTATACAGTACAACGGATATGACGTCAAATTCCTTCGCACAGATCCGGATCACTCCGCAATGAACAGGGTTCGAGTTATAATCTGAGCTTAGTTAGGAGTCTCACACCCCATTTACACCTGGTATTAAAATGCAGTCTGATAGGCTCCAGATTTTACCAGCAGTGATAAATAAATAATGAGAGAAAGATAAACCATTGATTACTATGTGATGCCCCTTAACTGTGATATAATAAGCGTGTACCACGGCCTGTCTGACTTAATTAGACCGACAGATGGAGAAAACAGTTTTAAAGGAGGGAGGATGATAGTGGGAGCGCAGTGTGAGGTTAGTCTAATTATAGTTACCTTACAATCATTTAAAATAAGTTTTAATATGAATATAAATGGTTTCCTTCTGGGTAAATACATGAATGCTGTGAACATAAGTAAGATCTCCAAGTACCTTTTATCCACTTTAGAAATTCAGAATTCATACTGTGATGATTTGCTGATTAAAATCCTCCCTCCTTTAAAACAGCCTGCTTCAACTGTTAGACAATATGTATAGATTAGGAAAGGCCTCTTGATCTAGGAATTTGGTTTAGTTGATTGATACTTTGGTATCAAGTATCAATGTAGTTTTTCAGAAGCACAAAAATAATAATAATTTATTTTGATACATGGCATCGCTGCTGTAGTTTGATGGATCTTTGTCCATCCCTGTATGTACTGTATCCATATGAAGCTACATGTATTGATCAGAAATGTGAACAGTTCTTTATTTCACATCTGTTTAAATTTGCTGACTTTGCATTAAAAGCCTGGAAAATAAAGTACACTGGAGTCTTGAATTTGACCCTGGTGTCTCCAGTAGGCTACTGTAAACTCTACTACTGTAATCCACAACACATCATACCTGAACTGTGTGTCTGTGTCTGTTTCTGGCAGCCGTCCACTGTTTTTCTTTGCCTTTAAACACATTTTACCACAATATAAAACTAGTGCATTAAGTCCTGCTTTCAAAATGTTCATTAAGTCAAAGTATTAGCTATGTATACCTACTTTACATAATGTTGGCAGATAAATCTATATTAATGCTTCATGTTGTAAAACATTAATCTGCAGAGTAACTTGTTAATACTGTCTACATGTTTTTATTTCAATGTATTTTTATTTCAATGAAAATCTCTGTTTTCTTGCCAATAAAGCTTCACTGAATTAACCCACAAAGTCAGATTATAGACATTTTCCAGTTTTTCACTAGAAACATCAGATCAGAGCTGTTGATCCTGATCTGGTCTGATCTGGAATCAAGAGCAGCTCTAGCTCACAGTCCAGTCTGACTTCTTACTTACTTAAACTTTATTTGTATAGGGCAATTGGTTCTGCAGCAAGACATAGACACAGGACTGACCTAGATACAAGACCAAAATACATAAAATACTAAAATGTTGTGGACTATACTTGTACAACAGAGGATTGAGAAGACAGACAAGTGCTAAAATGCTACAGACTAAGATGCTCCATTTCTGAATATAGAGATAAATAAATAAATCTTCTCTCTTCATATCAATATAAAAACAGATTTCATGTCAGTTATTTGTTGACTTTTGAACAGCGTCCTGCTTCTAGAGCAGATGAAACCAAGAGTCAATAAAACCTGATAAAAACAGGAGCATTAACTTCTTTAACTGTAACTCTGGAGCTGAGAAAGTGATCTGAGTTTGGCTCTACATGTCTGTCGGGGTCTGTCCCTGTGATCAGAGAACAACATGGGGGAACTTTTAGAGGAAAGATTGTGGTGTGAGCGAATCAGCTCTGGGCTCATTTTAACTTCATCTTCCACCCACTTCTCAGTCAGACACATGATGTGGGTTCTTCCTCTTTAGTGTTGGTGGGTAGAAACTGATATGAGAACAATGTTTGTGCTGTTTCCTGTTGGTCCTCTGACTGCAGCTGGTAACATGGAGACTTTTCTTCCCTTTGATTCATCACAGAGCTCAGTCTCTACACAGCAAAGTCACAATTTTAACTTTCATATCCTCAATCCAAGATAAACCTTCCTGTTCCTTCAGTCACAGATTGTCTCCTGAGCAGAGTCTCCACTCGACTGTCATTTAGGGTCTTGTGTCTCTCAGAGGAGCCATCTTTGATCACGTTTCCTCCTCCTGATCAACAACTGCTGGATCAGGATATTCTGATCAAACTGTTTCAGGAAAACTTCTTATCTGGACTTTGTTGGAGAGAAAGTCTCTCTGATTCTAGTGTAGAAACCTCGTCTCATCATTTATTATCTGCTGACTGGTTTTCTCTTAGTATCATGTTGAGGCTGTGAAGTTAGAGCAGGTTGAACGAAAGATCGGCCGTTCAATCCCCGATTCCTGTACAGTGGATGTTGTATGAGATAGTTTGCTGTTATGAGGCAGATGCGAGACATGACCTGCTTCATGTACAAAGTGACAGACTGCTGTCACAACCTGGCTCAAAGTGACAAAAAGAGGGAAGCCAAAACAAAGTAAGATACAAAGAAAACAGAGAGGGCCCAAACCTGGGGCCGTCACACTGCAGAAAGAGGAAGCTGCCCTCAGACTAAAAACTCTGTTGAAGGTTGATTGTGCCCGCTCACAAGATTTACAGAGAAAGACTCTCTTAGTTAGTGAACTCTTTATTACAGCTCAGGAGAAAACAAAAGAACAGCAGATCTGAGTCACAGTCACGGTAAAGATGCTTAAATTAAAACCAGGTTTTACTTTTTAGCTGCAGTCTTCAGACTCAGAAACTCCTCATTTCTAATATCCTTCAAATTAAAAGCCTCCAGTTTTCTCCTTCTGTTTCCTCTCTCTGTGACCATTTGGACTGAACCTTTTAGTTATGTTTTTAGATAAAATAACCTGCTAGAACTGATCTGAAGCTCCTTGTTTATGTGCAGACAGACAGATGCAGTGAAACAGTTTGTGCCAGAAATTGATGCAGAAAAACTAGTCCATGCATTTGTTACTTCTAGGCTGGATTACTGCAATTCCTTATTATCAGGCTGCTCGATAAAGTCCATTAAGACTCTTCAGCTGATCCAGAATGCTGCAGCACGTGTTCTGACAGGAACCAGGAAAAGAGATCACATTTCTCCTGTTTTAGCTTCTTTGCATTGGCTTCCAGTAAAATCCAGAATAGAATTTAAAATCATTCTTCTTACCTACAAAGCTCTTAATGGTCAGGCACCATCTTATCTTAAAGAGCTCATAGTACCTTACTACCCCACCAGAGCACTGTGCTCCCAGAATGCAGGGTTACTTGTGGTTCCTAGAGTCTCCAAAAGTAGACTAGGAGCCAGAGCGTTCAGCTATCAAGCTCCTCTCCTGTGGAACCAGGTTCCAGTTTGGGTTCAGGAGGCAGACACCATCTCCACATTTAAGAGTAGGCTTCCTCTTTGATAAAGCCCTTAGTTATGCTGTTATAGGCCTAGACCGCCGGGGGATTTCCCACTTTCTCTCCTTCTGTATGCAACCTCATCCCATTATTGCATGTTACTAACTCAACTTTTCCCCTTTCTGGTAGTCTTGTGCTTTCTCGTCTCTCTCCTCTCTCCTATCACTTCCTGCAGGTTTTCTGGCTCTGGAGCTGTGGAGTCTGGATCTGTGGTTGCGGGTCACCTGCTGCCCCCGTGTTCCTGCTCGACACCCTCTGCTGCAACGACTATTGTTACTAGTCCTATTATTATTATTGTTATTATAATCATTAACACTACTATAAATATCTGTACCATTATTTATTCAGTCTATACCCACATTTCCTTTTCTGTCAGTACCTCTGTTTGTATATTGTGTAGGTTGCTGGATGTAATTTGTTTATCATAATATTATATCCTGCACGTTGATTCAGAGAAATCTCCAACCTGCTAATTAGTGCAAAGCGAGGACTTCAAAGGAATCTAACGCTGAATCATATGAAAAATGAAAGAATAAAACAGTTAATTTCCTGCATCAATTTACAGTGGGATATTTTTTATTGACAAAATTCAGGTGAGTCAGCCCACATGCAGCCATCCCTCTGTCTTGTGTTTGGGGAAGTAACCTCTTCAAATGTTCATGTGGTACCTCAAAGATAAATGAATTCATTTTATTTCAGTTATAAACTCCTGGACTTCAGTGCTCCTGTTTTTCAGCAGGTTGTCTGCACATTCAGAATCCCTCTCACATGTGGAGAAAAACGTATTACGAGCAGGGCTGGACTAAAAATCAGCCCACCAAAATCGGTCTGACACCCCTCACCAATACACCATGCTTCCATATAACATGTGTAATATTCCCCCAAACCAGATGAGTGGTATGTGCCGTAGATAAGTGTACTCATTCAAACTAATTTACTGACTCCATGGTGATCAGAGGTGGCCATGGAGTAGACAACCCAAATACAAATAGCCTACAGGTCATTTTCACAGCAGCGTGGGATTAGCCAACACGATGCTGACAAAATAACCTCACCTCAGCCGTTAGAACAGTTAGCCAAAGATAAAACTGCATTAGGAAACTGTGCTAGCTACAAAAACAATGTCATATAACAACGTTATGGTTATGTTATTATCATTGACCTTAATCGAACTGATCATCATCATTGTCACTACGGCATGACACACACCCAGGGGCGTCACTTCATGTTGAAAAGTGGTGGGGACACTTTTGTTATGGCCCGGCTCAGAGGCCACAACAAATAGAGGAGTCCATACCAAGGGATTACCAGAAAAGGATGTTTATTAACAAAACGAATATAACAAATAATTTCAAAGCTTAACAAATGTGGCTGGCAAAACATGGGGCCAGATTAACTAAATAAACGGAAGCACAACAACGCAACACGCCGTGGTGCTGGGGACCAGGAAAAAGCAAACAATAATAATAATAATAATAATCCTTATTTGTAGAGCACTTTTCAAAAACAAGTTACAAAGTGCTTTAACAAGTGTAAAGAATAATACAAAAAAAAACAAGATAAGAGCATGAAAGTTTAATATAAAAAAAGTATGTTTTAAGAAGGGACTTAAAAGAGTTCACTGACTCAGCCGACCTGATTTCCTCGGGCAGGCTGTTCCAGAGCCTCGGGGCCCTGACAGCAAACGCTCTGTCCATTTAGTTTTGGGGACAGGAGGTCAAGGCCTGCAACAATCAGGAAGGGGCGGACTTTATGCAATCTGGAGACAGTGGCCAGCTGCCTCTGATCTGCCTGATGGCCTCAGCTCCACTCCACCAGGAAGTTCACCCTGCAACAAACACAGACAGACACACACACAAACAACCTGGCAGAGGCCCTCGGGCCGTCACACTTTCTACGTCTATTACATATATTTTATTCCAAATTTCTTTATTGAAACTTTTGCGTAGGCTTGAACAGGGTGAAGCGGTAAAGGGCAGTAATAATGTTCATAGCCTGTTTACTTACACACTAACAACATGTACCCACCCACCCAGCTCCCAAACATTCACACTACACACTCAGACGGACACAAACCTCAGATAGGTTGATAAATGTGCACAAGTGCTGTGAAAGAATAAATGGGAGGTACCATAGTGAATAAAAAATCTGAGGCCCCATCCACACTACTGCGTTTTCGTTTTAAAACGGAGACCTTGTGCTACGTTTGCACCTCCCGTCCAGAATAAAACAGCAAAAACGAAGACCTAAAATTGAGAAGTTTAGAAATGCTGCCGACCCCACTTTGCGTTTCAAAACTCCGGAGGGTGTTTTAGCGAAGACGGGCCAAAACGGAGGACTTAAGAAACGATGATAAAGACGCTCACGCTCCGCTCTCTGATTGGAGCTTTTAAGCAGAAACACGGTGCTACTGACAGAGTTTATGAGTCGGTATTTTTATTACATTCAGTAACAGTCCGAGCTCGTTATTGGCACATGCCAAAAAAAAAAAATCTGGTATGATTCTTCGTCTGCATTTCTTTATTCTTTCGTCAAAACTTCTGTAACTACGGAAGAGAGCATCTGCTTCATGTTTGCACAGGCACGCGCAGGCCCAGTGTACCTGAACGGCCAATAGACATGCATAGATCAACTCTAAAACGCAGCTAAAATGCTGGTGTGGACGGAGATCGTATTCGTTTTAATTCTCCGTTTGTAAACTACAATGTAAAATAAATAAATTATAAAGAGATAACTAAAATGAGAATAAAGCAAAAAAGAAACATAAGTTAGTGTATCAACATATGCCAGAAATCCAT